TAAAATTTGTTCAAGGTAAATTTACTCAGAATTAAGTCAAAGTTATTTAACTGGATGAAATGTAGGATTTTCCTCTAAAGTGACAAGGTTACAGGTAAAGAAAACAGGAGATGCAAGAAATTTCATTTATTTACCTCAGAAGTCTGAAATAAATACTTTCTGCACTCTAAAGTTCAAGTTCCTTGCTTAAAGGATGGAAATGAAAGGAAATACTCTAGAGCTAAATGCACTAGAAGGAGCTCTGGTGGTGTCATGTTTAAGGCATTTGGCTATCAACCGAAAGTTTGATGGTTCAAACACACCAGCTATTCTCTGGAAGAAACATAAGGTATTCTGCTTCCATAAAGATTTACAGCCTTGGAAACCCAATGGGGGTTGCTGTGAGAGGGAGTTGACTCAATGGCAATGAGTTTGGTTTTGGGGAATGCAGAGATGATTCAAGGGAACACCAGGCAGGTAGTATTATTGTTATTATTATATCTGAAAGATTATTGAATATCAGTAACTACCCATTGCTATGAACCTAACCAGAAGGCTGGTGGTTCAAACCCACCAGCCACTCCTCAGAAGGAAGGTTGGGCAATCTATTTCCGTAGTGATACCGCCTCAGAAACCCAAGGAGGGGTTGCTATGAGTTGGGTCTGACTCGATGGCACATAACAACAAAAACCCATTGCTGTCAAATCTATTCCACCTCATATGTGACAGAGTGGAACTGCACCGTAGGGTTTTTTCTTTTTTTAATTGTGATTTAGGTGAAAGTTTACAGAGCAAATTCACTTTCCATACAGCAGTTCACATATACTTTGTCTCATCACATTGACCACAATTCACCACAATGCAACAGCTCCCCTCCCACTTCCTCCCGACAGTCACCTCTTCCCTGTGTCCATCCCTCCATGTACCCCTGCCCCCTGAGCTGTCTCTTTGTGCGTAAACAGCCCTTCTTTCTCCATGATTGCTCTCTCCAAGGAGTGTATCTACCTGAGGTAAATGTTCAACTCCTATGCCTGCCTTTTGTTTGGCTGGAAGCCACAGATATGAGTTCAATTCCAGACCTGAAGAACAGCTAGGGGCCATAGTTTCAGTGGTTCCACCAGGCTATATCAGACCAGCAAACCTGGTCCCCTCTTTTTTTTTTTCCAAATGATTTTGAGTTTTGTTCCACATTGTTCTTCCTCCCTATCCAGGATCTCCTACATAGATCCCCCTCTGAGTGGTTGACAGTGGTAGCCAGGCACCATCTAATTCTTCTGGTCTCATAGTCATATAAGCTGTGGATTGCATGGTGTACTAGTTGCTACAACGAATTGTTTCTATGAATCTTTGGTTTTCTTCATTCTTCTTTGCTCTGAATGAGGAGAGACCCATTGTTGCATCTAGATGGCTGCTTACAAGCTTTTAAGATCCCAGTCACTACTCACCAAAGTAGGAGGTGAAACAATGTTTTGTGTAGTATGTTATACCAATTGAGCTTGATGGCCCTTGTGGCTATGGTCCCAAGCCCATCCATAGGGTTTTCTTGGTTGTCATGTTTAGGGAAGCAGATGGCCAGGGCTTCCTCCCATGGAGTCACTGGATGGGTTGGAACTGCCAACAGCCCGACATAAATCACTTGTGCCACCCAGGCTCCCGATGAAAAACTAAAAGTTTTTAATTTAAAAAAAAAAAAAAAGAGAGAGGAAGAAGGGATAAAACAGAAGCAGGGGGGCGAGGTGGGAAGAAACATGAGAGGAAGGGAGCACAAGCAGGAGGAAGGAAAGCCTGTCAGGATGCTGGGTTCTGGAGATAACCCACTGCCATCAAGTTGATTCTAACTCATAGCGATCTCCATTGGGTTTCCAAGGCAGGAAGTCTTGACGGAAGTAGATTGCCAGGCTTCCTTCCGTGGAGTGGCTGGTAGGTTTGAACAGCCAGTCTTCTAGTTAGCAGTCAAATGCCTTAGGTGCAGTGCTCCTTGGAATCTGGAGACACTTCTGTGTTTTTCAGGGAAAAATCCTCTGTCTTCAGTACTACTGATCAGTGTGTCCCTTGGTATCTGCAGGGGATTGGTTCCAGGACCCAAAGGAAACCCAAATCTGTGGATGCTCAAGTCCCTTCTATAAAATGGCATTGTATTTGCATATAACCTACTCACACCCTCCTGTATGCATTAAATCATCTCTAGATTACTTATAATACCTAACCAAACCAAACTCACTGCTGTTGGTTCGGATCCAACTCATAACGACCCCTCCTTGGTATCTGTATCACTTCAGAAGTAGATTGCCCAACCTTCCTTCCGAAGAGTGGCTGGTGGGTTTGAACCGCCAGCCTTCTGGTTAGCAGTCAAAGGCTTTAGGCACTATGCTAAATACAATGTAAATGATATGTAAGTAGCACTTTACGCTCTCTCTTAGCCTTTGAGGGATTGCTTTAACCACTTAATTGCTCCCGGGCCGCCTGCCCCGCCAATGTTTTCCATCACAGTTGGTTGAATCTGCAGGATACAGAACTGGGGATACCAAGGACAAACTGTATATGAAAGTAGGTTAACTATTTGAAAATAAGTCTTTTAATTCTTTCATCAGTCCATCCTATACTATTTCAAAACTTGCTGTTATGCAGAACAATAAGATCTCAAATACATAGTAGGTCTCTGATTACTCCAAAAGTCAACCGCCCACAGGGCCTATTGGGTAATGTGAATGAAAAGGGCTGAGTATCAAAGACCAGGAATATTCCTCCCCACAAATCTGCCTGCACCAGGCTCAGGAGTTGGTGTGGAGGATGGGAACAGTGTATTTGGAGGAGATGCTGAGAATCAATACACAGAGGACAATGGGTAAAACACAGAAATAGAAATTTAGGAGGGGAGGAGGAAAAAAGAGAGGAGTAAAGAAGAAGCCGAAATGAGGAAGATGGGTCTATATCAAGAATGATAAAATGCTACAAAAAACTTAATGTGGGAAACTAAGAAATTGAGAATAATTCCAACCAAGCCAAACCATTATATCAACCACACGAATTTCTTACTGATTTGTCTTCCTTTCTTTTGATGAAGTATAAATGGAACATACTATCTCCTGGCAAAATCATGACCCTGTGGGGTTCAGAGATATTAAGAGAATTTAAGAAAAGGAGTCAGTTGCTAGGAAGACGGGAAACAGCAGCAGGACCACCACGGACAACAAAGAATGACCAAGTTAACCAGAACTGGACTTCTCCTAGCCCATAAAGAAAAAAAATTCTATCCTAAAAATATTCTATAAAGAACATTTTTCACATATTTAATATGAAATAATTTGTATATGTGAAGAATTTTGAATTTTAAATATGTGGAAAAATGCATATAGGTGAAAAACTTTAAGAGAACATTCTTCTTTAATGGTAAAAGTACACTACCATATAACATATTATTAAATTGGATTTTATAATGGTTTCAGAAACTTATTATTTTTTCCTTGATGAAGTCGATGAGCTATATTCTTACTTGGAACTTATAATTATTTTTACTTTAATATATGACCATTTTGACAGCAAAGTAGATGGTGTGAAGTTAGGTGTGACTGTAATTACTATCCTACAAGTACAAAGAATAGTAAAAAGTTCTACCTATTATCAGACATAGTATAAGTTTTACAATTCCATACTTACTCATCCTTGAAAGGAAAAGACTAAATCCAATTAGGAATTTGGGGTGATATTTTGAATTTAAGAATATGTTTTATGTTTTGTTTTGTTTTACCAAAGAGGCTAGAAATAATGTATAAATACAGATCAAGAGTAGAAATGTGTACTTCCAATTATAAATATGAAAAGTAATAAATCCTCTATATGAAATAAGGACAAGAGCCATTTAGAAAGAGAAAATATAAACACCACACAAGGTTGATATTTCTGTTAATGGTAATAATCATAGTTTATTGGGGTGCCCTTATTTCTAGTTCACCTTTCACTTCCATAGCCCTTTAATTTCATGAAACAGCACTCGAGTTCATAATTCTGGGCAAGGGATGGTTCATTTCCTACACTGTTTTATTCAAAAGTGGATATGCAGGGGTGGAAGCATTTTGCATCGGACAAAAGCCTGCCAGAAGTTCAGCTGGCCTAGCCTTTCTCTATTAGAGAGCAGAATTTCTCTCAAAGATCACAATCACCATCCTGCTGAAACTAACCCTTGTGCAAATGTCTTTCCACATTGCCTACTTTTGTAGCCGTGTGCACCAAAAGATAAGTGAGCGTCAACTGAATGTTGGGAGCCAGGCAAAGAACAGTGAAACTTTCTCTTAAAATATTTCCATCTCTCCTCCTAAGGGAAAGAATCTAATATTACCTTGAAAGTCCCTTAGCAGACTAGATTTAATAGAATCCAAGAAACACCAGCAGAGATCAGTTCCAGTTAATCCCTAACTTGTTGCAATAAGAAAAAGGCAGAATATCATGATTTCATTACCTAGGGCTTTCACATCACCACAAACACACAATCTCAAATGAAGACTCACAGCAGACACACACAAGGAAGCAGATACAGTGATGGGCAATGAGGTTAAATACCCCCTTTTGCTCCCAATCTTCAGCTAGTAATTTCTGGTAAGTTTGCTATACATAAGAGGAAATAGTCCAGGTTCCAAATAAAGTTAGCCTTTATCTTATCTGAAAATAGTTTGGGCACGGGTCTGCTCCAGTTATGCTGTCAGTCAAAACTCAATATTATTTTCTGACACTTTCAGCACATTTCCTGAACCCATGGGGCATGTCCCCTCTATATAGTAATTTCCCTGAATTCTCCGTTTAAAAAGCATGTAAGACAGGTAGCTTCATCCACCACTTCTCTGATGATCTCAGAGAAATTAATTAAATTGGCTGGGGGAAAGCGGAGTGAGACGGTCCTTCTCGTGAGCGTATTTAATCAGAGCACGCTGCCTCTGAGGGAAGAGAGACAGCGTCATCAATATTCAAGGGGTCTCATCTCCCTTGCGCAGCCCCACCAGCCCATGCAGGGCATCGGATAAACTCACCTGCCGTTCTTAGTCACGATCATTTCATTAGTGACTTCCTTGAACCTCTGCCAGAGAGGTGCATCCTCCAGAATGATCTGAAGTTGTTTCTCTGTAGGGTCGCCTTTTTCCCTCCCTGCCTGAAGCTCACTTTCGACCACGTTGAGCAGACGAGACACAGTGCCATCGCTGGCCTTCTGAGAGCTCAGATCACTCATGGTGGTTGGCCCCACGCAAACTTGGCTGACAAGCCTTACCTATCTTGCCTGCTTCCACCTCCTTCTTCCCTTCACTTGCCAGCTATTCAACCCCAGCTGAACAGCGCCTGGGGAGCTGGAGAGAAGGTGGCCCTGGCTCTTGCCTAAACTCCTAGTGTGACACCCCTTCAAGTCTCCAAATTATACCACCAACCTGTTAAGCTTTAGTTGGGGAGGGGGGTTGGAAGGAGGAGAGAGACAGAGAAGAAAAAGCCTTCTCCTAATTACTCATTGGATCAGGTGGGAGAGAGCCCAGCTCTCCCATTGGCTGGTACCTAGAGTAGACGCTTAAGAAGAGTACTCCATCCAAATTATCAGGCTTTTATCTTGTTGTACCTGAAGAGGTCTAATCGGTGTATTGAGGACCATTTTCCCATTAATTAAAATTGTTCCAGGCCCAAACGGCAACAATCAGGCAAATCATGTTTGTGGATAAATCACAGCATGTGGCTCAGATAGAGGAGGAGGTCCTGGAGAGAATCAACAAACTTAATACCAACCCAGGCTGGCCTGATAGAGTTGGGAACCGAAATCCATCCTCCTCTCTATCACCTTAGAGTGATGATGAAGGCCTGGAGAGAGGAATCCATAGGTGGAAGGTCAAAGGCACTGTGTCAAGAACATGACAACTGTCTCAGAGATTGCAGGCAGATGCTCTGTGCAGCAGTTTCTCAAGGGCCAGAGCTCCAGAGAAAAGAATAGAGCTAAAGACCTATTTCTCCCAGGGTACCCTCTTATGGCCATCTCTCTCCTGAGGGAGTCTACCACATGCTCATATCCTACTAATCTTAAGGAGACTGATCACCTCCTCTCTAATGGGGTAGTGCCTAAGGCATTTGACTGCTAACTAGAAGATTGGTGATTCAAGCCCACCAGCCACCCTGCAGAAGGACAACCAGGCAATCTACTTCTGTAAAGATTTACCACCTTGGAAACCCAAAGATGGTTGCTATGAGTTGGAATTGACTTGATGACAGTGAGTTTAATTTTTGGTTTTTGATCACCTCCTATAAACAATGGAGCTCTAAACTTGTCCTTCCTCCTAAGAGTCTCAGGCCCTTTATTTGTTGTTTTTATTTTGTTTTGCTTTTTCCCAGCCCTTTCTAGAAGAAAACTTCAGCTACCATCAGATTAATCTTGCGAAGAATACATTTTTCCCCAGCAAGTAATAATAATGCTTTTTATATCATTATGCAGAGCAATTTTGATTCTCTGTCCAGAAAGGCATTCTGGCTTTCCTTTTAGACAGCCCAAGGCCTGCTGTGGCATTCCAGAGTAAATCCTCACATTCCCTGGGCAAGTTCTACTAGTTGAAAACTTTTCTTTTACCTAGAACACACAGTACTGATGTAAGGGAAGGCTGCTAACTAGAAGGTCAGTAGTTCAAACCCAACAGCCACTCCACAGAAGGAAGATGGGGCAATCTACTTTGATACAGATTTACAGCCTTGGAAACCCAATGGGCATTGCTATGAGTCAGAATTGACTCCATGGCAGTGAGTAGTTTTATATTTATATATGTATATACCTACAAATATCATTGCTATTGTTGTGTGCCGTAAAGTTGATTCCAACTCTAATATACTATAATTCCCTTACATCTATGTAATGTAATCACATTCAATGAAATCTAATGTAATATAATCACTCCATTTAGAGCAGACCAGTGTTGGGTGGATCCTAAATCTAATCACTTCTAAGTTATAAGAAAAACAGAATACAGAGGCACCACACACGGGGAAGAAAGAAGCCATGTGAGGATATCTACAAGCCAAGGAACTAAGAAATGCCCAGAACTACCTACAAGGAAGAAACCGACACAGCCAAGACCCTGATTTGGACTTTTAGCTCACAGAACTATGAGGAAATTAATTTTTGTTCTTTAAAGCCACCCACTTGTGGCATTTATGTTACAGCACCATGACGTATCTAAGATGATAGAAAAAAACACTATGTGACAAAGTGAACAGTGTTCCCCAAAACAGTTCATAAATATCAATAAGATCAGGATCCCAGCATTCAAAGAGTTTTACATCTAGGAGGGAGAAAAAAAAAAAAGGCATGTGTCATGCAGGGAATTCACCAATGCAGACATATGCAAAATGTTTTGGAAGCACCAATAAGATAGAAATGAAGGAAATAAGTCTGTTTGGTCATTTTTTACTATTCTTATTCAAAACAATGTGTTCCTGATACCCACGTTAGCACATAAATCTCCTTAGCCAATGGGCCTTGCAAAGAATGACTCTTTGAGAACAGCATATGCAATCAACTTATGGACTGTATGGCAATAACCCTAAGACAGAGGCTTCCAGCAACAAAAATGGTCTCTTCTCTTTATTTTGGCTTTGGTCTGCCCAGGCAATAGCTCTACTCTCCAACCATTGTCCACTTCTGAGTTCTGCACTGTATTAGGTTTAATAGGTTGAACTACATGAAACTGCTGATATCCAACCTCTTCATCTCCAAAAATAGCAATTTCATATGGTTCCACCAAATAGTTCTATCTGATACTAATCTCAATAATATGAAATGCTTTGACTGAGACATCCATATAATAATGTTTTTTTACTGATCATTTGTTTTCTAATTACTAAGTATTTTTTGTTCTTTACAAATATATGTGTACTTCATCCTTTTAAAAAGGGGATCAGAAAACACTTCTGGCTAAACATAGACAAGTAAACACATTCTTTTATATCTGTTCCTCACCAAACCTCTCTAAAATAGCAGTAAGGTAATTTGAAATTTAAACCCAAAAAGCTCAAGCATACAGAAGAGAAAACAGTAGCAGATGAGAGATGGTACTAAAATTTTAGAAACTGACAAAACAAATAGGTATGTGGTAACTGATGTAGTAGATTGGAGAAAGTTGAAACCTCAGGTACAGAAGAAAAATAAATAAGCAGCAAGTTGATTTGTGCCAGAACATATGGAAGCACTTCAGGGATTGGATGAGCCATATATCTCGAAAGGGAGAAAGCAGTTCTTGCTAAGACCAAACAGGAAGATAAATTGAAATTTTATGTATGAAACAGTTAACTTTCAAGATCCCAACCCCTCAGCCAGGCATCTGCTCCTTGCCTTTTATGGCAGAAAACAAGAGATTTCTTTTCTGAGGGAAGCAGATTTGAAAGGATTTGTACTTAGAGATACCAGCTACTGATGAGGGCAGGGGTGAGCACCATATTGAAAACAGGGGAGTTAAGACACACTCATTAAACAAAAGACTTTACAATTTCTCATTGAAATGGCTCTTCCCCAATTACCACCTACCCCACTCAAGTGGCAGAAGCCACCATTAGTTAAGCCCTGCCCATGCACATAGGCATTCCATCCACTTTTACGTGACTTACCCTTTATGCTCAGACAGTAACAGACGAGCAGGCATCAGACATGGATTGAAGTTAAAAAAGGAATTCTGAGGAAACAGAAACCATGTGGGGAACCGAAGATAGCAAAAGAATATAAACAAAACTATAATGATTACCCACTTAAAGATCAGATAAAATATCCCATTCATGAAATAAAACAAAGATACTATAAGAGAGAGAAAAAGAGAAATAAAGAAAGGAAGGAAGGAGGGAGGGAGACAGTGAGAGGAAGGAAGGAAAAGAGGAAGGAAGAAGGAAGGGAAGAAAGAAAAGGGCAAAATGGAACCCTTGGAAATTTAAAATATCAAAACATAAATTTAAAATTCAATAAAAGTTTAGAAAATAAACTTAAAGAAATCTCTGAGAAAGTAAAACAAATAACAAAAAGTTCCAAAAGAAAAAACAGAGAAAATGAAAGCATGGAAAATCTCCAAGAAATAATACAGGAAGAGTGCCCAGAATTGAAGCTTACATCTTTCCAGATTGAAAGATCCACTGAGGGCCCAGCACAATGAGAGAAAAAAGATCTACACCAAGACATATACATCACCATGAAATATGAAAGACTGGTGATAAAATCATAAAAACCTCCTAGAGAAAAAACAAGTCATACACAAAAAAATCATAAATAATAATACCACCAACCTTCTCAATAACAACCCTGAAAGTTGTAAGAAAATCCAAGCTATCAAGTGTGAGACTAGAGTAAAGACCTACAAGGTTGTAAAAATTTTACCTCCCATGTACTCTTCCTCAGAAGTACTACAGAATGTGCTCTATCAAAGTAAGGAGTAAACCAAGAAAAGAGCAACACAGGAAACCTATGAGACAAGGGCCCAACATAGGAGAAAAGTAAATAAAAGTCCCAGAATGACAACTATGTAATCATTGTACAGACAAATGTCATTGGAAGACTAGGATTCACGAAGACACCAGAAATGGAGAATGTCTTATCTGGTGCTACTGTAACAGAAATATCACAAGTATGTGACTTTAATAAACAGACATTTTCTCACAGGTAGAAGGCCAGAGTGCCAGCTCTTAGAAGGTTTTCTCTCTGTGTCAGCTCTGGAGGAAGTTCCTTATCTCTTCTCATCTTCTGTTCATCAGAGATCTTCATGTTGTGTGGCATCTGTCTTCTGCCATTTTTGCTTGCTTGCTTAATCTGCTCTTTTTATATCTCAAAAAAAGACTGACCTAAAAAACACCCTATACTAACATTTCCTCATTAACATAACAAAGAAAAAAACATTCCCAATGGGATTATAACCATGAGTATAGGGGTTAGGATTTACAACCCATATTTTAGGGGGACACAATTCAATCCATAACAGAGAACGTTTGAGTAAATCAAGAGATATAGAAGGAAGTGAGCACATAGAGCAGAAAGATGAGCAACGTTCCCCCAAATTGACAGAAGTATAAACTTTTGAGTCTCAAAAAGTTCTTACCAGTAGACACAGCTGTTGACAATGAGTTTGATTGAGGATTTCATCAGACCTGCTCTAAGCCTAACTGCTACCACTTACATATGTAAAGTAAGAGCAGTATTACACATGTACAGATGAAATGTACCAGGAACCACACCCTGAGGGCTGGTGTACCAACAATCTTGAGGTTATGCAATATTACAGTAGAATGT